TGTTAAACGCCATTTTCCCAACAATAAATGAACTGTTTCAGTCAAGTTAAATGATCGTGTCTGTGTATTCAGCATAATTATGTATCCGGTATAACAAACCTGAACAACGGGTGTTCCTGAATTGTACTTGAAACGATTTGCCAACGTCTTAATAATTATTTTAAATGACAGAGTTACCTCGTAATCTTTCATCGAAATATCTTCCGGTGAAAAACGAAATCTCTTGTGGCATATGCGAGGCTTCGCCGGTCAATCCCTAACCAGGGCCCCTTCACCCTCCTCCACTTTTGGGTGCAACGCTCCCATCTCAACGACCAGCCGACGGTCGAAACAAGACCTCTGCCCCAACAATTTATTTCGCTCGAATGTACGACGCTATACAAAAGATCCGTCACTACTTCCTTGTGACTACGGCTACGCTACATAGCTATAAGCGAAGAGCGGCCGTTCTGATCAACTCTGCAGTTATTGCCTACTTTTCCTAGATCTGCGAACCATGTTGGATAAATCTTATTGATCAAAACATTATCTACATGGACCGACAGAATCAGCTTCAACGATCCAATTTGTCTGATCCTGACACAATTTTTCCAGAAATTCAAAGCGTTGTGGCCTGGACCGTTGTGGATTAAAACAGTCAATCCAGATTCAAGGAAACGGCTACAACATTATCGATTAGGAGTTTATGTCTTGGAACTGAAAAGGATGTCTGAAACGCTGATGGACCGTGACAGGAGTTCTGGCGCTGCTGCGGATGAGTAAATGGAGTGCGGCTGCGCCGCGGGAAAAACGTGTCCTGGAAAAGACATCGTACACTCTATGTTTAAACAGTTTTACAGAGACCAAATGATTGATCTGGTGCGCACGGTCATCGATCATGCATGCGATCCGAATCATGATCATACGTGGGATTCCAAGCGTGAAACAAACCTCAAAAATGAAATGGACATGGTAAGAAGACTGAAAAATAATCCATGGCCCGATTTGACAAGAATGTTTATGACCGGCAAAGAGCCAATCTGTGTAACTACCAGAAAAATTCTGGATGTGATGTCTGAATGTAGCGATGAGATGTACATTGACGAAGTTCTGTGTCTGTGTACGTGTGTAACGGATTTATGTGTGACGCTTGTTCAAAAACAGTATGGTTCCATGATATGTGAAATTATTGAGACGCTAGTCAATTTCATATTACACAAAAACATGTTAGCCTGCAGAGATTTTCTTTGCTGGCTAGATAACCTGTAATGTCATCACTATTGTTTGTAACGACAATTTGATCATTTTCTTCACACAATAAAAGGTTGAATCACTTTACTCGTTATTCTTTTCTCCGTGTTAAATTTTTGGATTTGAATGATTTTGCATAAGCCTTTATCCTAAGCGAATGAGTATGACAGAAGCAACAAGTCCTGGATAGTCTAACGCAGTACACGTAATTGAATAAAAAGAAAACGAGCGGCCGGAATAGAATGTAGATGGAAGAGAATTATTAAGAAATGGCTAAAGCAAGGAAGAGGACGGGTTAAAGCGATATTTTATTAAATCAAGCAAATTCATAGAAATATTGTCCTCTAACATTTCGAACATGACAGCGAAAACTAGGAAACAAAGCGCAAGGCCTAACAATTACGATTAGATGGGAAAATACTACAAGAGTGGCGAAACATAAAATTTCCAAGTGTAACCCTATGAAAAAGAATAAATAAAAACTTTGTGACTTGTGTGAACTTTGACAAGTCCAAGAACACTAGCAATTTTAGGCGTACTTACCAAGGATCAGTCTGGTGTGTGAAAGAGTTAGAACAATCATTTGTGTTTGTGTTGTTAGACCATATTGTCTCTATAAAGATTTGTACGTTTATATTCATTTATGAACGCTGTTACAGAATTTGTCTTAGTGACATTCAATGGAATATTTTATTAAAAGATAATGCAGAGGACTGTTTGAGTAACACTGTCAAGTGTTCGCCCAACTACCGGAAACCTGTAACTTTATTATGATTATTTAGAAATACATATAAGCTTCACGCCTGACACTTTTGTAACTAATATTTAAGCTAAACAAACATTTACAATTGTGAAAAATTAAGAGAATTAAGAGATGTTAAAAGCTGCTGACCTCATGATTTCTTAAAGCAAGACATGACAACGCTCAGTTACAGTCGTAACTGTTTCCTGGAACAAAACTAAAAGGCGGGCGGCTAAAACACTACGACTGAATAAAACTGCCCGAATCATCGCTTTTGCTTAAAACAACTGATTTATTAAAGTTGTGTTTAGAGACGCATACAAAGAAAATAGGTCTTCCTCACCGTCTTCAACTTTAAGTGTTTTAAATGTACAGAGAAATAGTAAGATTGAGGTCCTGTGTCTCGCGGCATCTTCGTAGACATACCAGAAATGAACACACGGTATTATTTCAATTAATGTGTTAACAAATAATGGTTCTTTGTGTGATTTCATAAGAAAAGCATCTAAATTGTAAACAAACTATTATATTTTATATTAAAACTTAATAAAAAATGTAGTAACAGTTGTGTAAGACACGAACCAAAACATTGCATTAATGTGTTTTAAAGATGAACAGCCAGACATGACAACGCGCAGTTACAGTTGTACCTGTTTCCTGGAACAAAACTAAAAGGCTGAGGCCTAAATCACAAAGACTGAATAAAACGGACTGAATCCTCGCTTTCGCTTAAAAACAACTGATTTATTCAAGTCGTGTTTAGTACAAAGAAAATAGTGTTTCCTCACCATCTTCAACTTAAAGTGTTTTAAATGTACAGAGAAATAGTAAGATTGAGGCCTTGTGTCTCGTGGCAGCTTCGTAGACAGACCAGAAATGTACACACAGTATTATTTTAATTAATAACCTGTTAACAAACAATGGTTCTTTGTGTGATTTCATAATAAAAGCATCTAAATTGTAAACAATCTATTATCTTTTATATTAAAACTTAATAAAAAATCGTTTAGTAACACATAGTTGTGTAAGACACGAACCAAAACATCGCATTAATGTTTTATCAGTCCTTTTACACATATTTTGTGTACTATCAATTTTAAGAGTGTATGGTTTATCGTGCATGCAGATTATATTTTAAAGTTGTTAAGCTAAATCAATGAGTTTATTAGGATGCTTTATTCCTTCTATAGACTTATACTTTAGACATGTAGTACATATCTGCGTTTTTTATGTGTAGGCTAGTCAAAATTGGTCTGTCGTGACTCGTACCCAACATGAAGGATCAATGCATAAAAATGCGACCATAAACATCATTAACTAAAATGAACAAAAGACAATAATCAGCAATATGCGTTCACCAGAGGTGGAAAGAGTACTGAAAAAATATATTCAAGTAAAAGTACCATTGCCTTCCAAAAAATGTAGTGTGAGTAGAGTAAAAGTACTTGTCCAAAAAACTACTTGAATAAGAGTAAAAGAGTAGCCTATTTAAAAGTACTCATGAGGATTGAGTAGTGAGTACTGAGATAACATGACAGTGAGTTGTTAGAAAAGAAATGTATACTGACATCATTGCATGATGACTAAAGGAACCGACGAATCGGTTCTTTGAAGAGGTTCATTGACCCAAACTCCCCGAAAGAATCGATTCGTGAAAATTAATTGGACTTTGCATCACTAACATCGCTAAATTGTAACATCGAGACAGGGAAGGACTGTATACTTCACAAATAGTGCGGAGATGTGAGTCTTTTTATATAGGATATCTGAGCATGCGTATATTTAGAAGTCCAACGTTTTAGACCGCTGCCATGTATGAGTATTCTGGGGTATTGCCCCGGCGGCCATGTCTGAAGTCTGAGGTTTATGCTGGGATTTGTAGTTCCCTGACCTAGAAGTATGTAGCATTTGAATGAGGTATTAGTTACACGTGTTAAATTTAACATCTTTGTGAAGGAAAAAAAAAACGAATTGTTAACACATATTTAGACTAGACAATTATATTCAAGAATAATAAGATATACCTATGATAAAACAGACTTGACATGTACATGTTGGAACGGATCAGCCGATGTTTTGTTATTTCGTAAAATAGCATTAGGATTTGGTTGTGTGTTCTTGAAATCAAACAACTGTCTTTGTCTTAAGAAAAAAAGACAAACAGTCTCATCTGGTATCTGAATATTCAGTCTGTCTTCATCATGAAATAATGAACCCATCATTACCCCATTCTGGAGAATGTGTGTTGTTTTTAGACAGGGTACTTCATGACCCAAAGGGGTATATTTGTTGTGTTCTATACCACCGCATGTCTTCATTTCATTGAGCGTGACCAGTATTTAGGATCACCAGGACTGTTAGGCATGGTAGGGCATGTTTATTTATATAGTACGTTTCATACACAATGGTAATTCAGAGTGCTTTAATTTAAAACAAGAGATATATTTGTAGTTTTATTTTTAAACATACAGAAAGAATGTGCGAGGGGAATAAAACATCGAAGATGATACTTAAAATAAGAAACTTTTAAAGATGCTGAAGTGATTGATGTGGAATAAATTATACTTTAGTTGAAATGTAAAAATTCTCTCTTTAGCTCGAAATGTTTATAT